AAAAAAAAAAAAAAAAAAAAGGGCTGAAAAAAAATGTATCAATGTAAACTTGTGATTTCTAGAATACATACATATTTTGCATGTGTACATATATACACATATAGGTATACATGCATACATAATGAGTGTATACAATTAAAAAATGTGCGTGTATATGTATATATACATGCATGCATATGTTTACAGTTTTTGTCTGCTGAAAGGGCCTAAAAGCAAAAATATCCAAGTAGTAATGACATACCTTGCATCCAGATCTTGGTTTCTAATATCATTTAACACCAAAAAGAACCCAGGTGCCTGAGAAAAATGGCTAGTAATAGGGCTGGGTCAGGGTATGTATGAGGCAAGTCTAGATCACCATATTAACCAGAAAGTCAGGAAGTACTAAAAACATGTTAGAAGCATGTCACCGGGACACAGAAGCCAGCTTGAAAGGGTTCCCACTAGCCTAATCTGGAACAATTTGAGCACCACAATAATCTAGAACAGTAATGAATTATAAACCGTTGAAAATATAATAATCCATAAAAATAAGAGACACAAATAGGGGAGAAGGGAATGTTCTAGCTCACAGTAAATACCAATTTAAATTAGTAAATTTGAGAGCGTGCTGGAGTTGGAAATCAGTAAATTTGAGAGAGTGCTGGAGTTGGAAAATCATTATTTTGCAACCAATATAACAAAGGTTTTGTTGGGCAAGAATCTTCAGTGTATATCAAAGAGCAGAGAACTTTTTAAAGAGAAGGATATTTGCATGGTCTTAAAATGTCTCTCTGAACATTGATTATTAGTTGTGAGGGAAACAATATATTTGAGAAAGTGTATAACACCTTGACTAGGGGATCAAAATTAATATCACCAGTGAGGGATAGATGAGCACTGTGGGTCTCCAGATGATATCCTGAGAAGGACATAGTATTCCTTAAGCAGTATTCCACTTGGGAATGCATAATCTGAATCAAATCATTAGAAAACCTCACATGAGCCCCAAGTGACATTATGATTTTTTTAAGAGACTGTAGTCTTCAAATATGTTAATGTCATAAAAGAAAAGAAAGGGTATGGAAATGTTTTAGAGTAAAGGATACTAAACAGACATGACAACTAAGTCCAGTGCCCAATCCTAGAATGGATCTTATACATACATCCTATATATATACATATGTATCTATATGTATATGTATAATACATATTTTAATATGCATGTCTCTTTATATGTATATTCTAAATATACAAATAAATACATATACATTATAATATACATATATAAGCAATACATATAAATACACAAACATTATCCTAAATATGCATATATATTACAATGCACGCAATGGTTTGAAATGTACAAGACCCTCCAAGGTGATGGTAATGTAAGGTGGGACCTCTGAGAGGTGATTAGGTCATGATGGCTCCTTCCTCAAGGATAGGATTAACACCCTGTAAAAGGGCTTGAGGGAGTGGATCTGCCTCTTTTGCTTTTCCATTCTTCTGCCCTTTGAGGACACAGTGTTCATCACCTCCAGAGGACTCAGCAATCAGGTCCATCTTGGAAGGAGTGATCAGGACAGATACCAAGTGAGCTGGCACAGTGATCTTGGGCTTCCCAGCCTCTAGAACTGTGAGAAACAAATTTTGATTTATAAATTATCCAGTCTGCAGTATTTTATTATAGCAGCACAAATGGACTAAGATAATACATATATAATATATAAATACAAAATAATTATTCTAACTGTATATAAATACAAAACATTTTAGGTGGGTATATATAGTATATGAATATATATACAGAGAGATGCAAATAATAAATCAAATGAGGATAAAATGTTAATGGTGAGTGAATCTGGATAAAGGGCATGTGATGTATTGTTCCTCTTCTTGCAACTTCTCTGAGTTTGAAATTATTTTCAACTAAACATTAAAAAATACACACACACACACACACACACACACACACACACACACTCACACACACACGGGACCCCAAAATGGAATTTATTTATACAAAATTGTGTATTTATTTTTACATGTTTAAACTTCAGTCACCTTCGAAGTACTCTTCGTTTGATACAATACACCTATAGAGACGCTTTTGCCACTGCTCAAAACAGTTTTTGAACTTGTCAATCTCGATGCCTTTTAGTGCTTCTGCCGTTTTTTGTTTTACCTCTTCCATATCAGCAAAGCATTTCCCTTTGAGGGCCTCTTTCATCCAGGGAAACAAAGTCACTCAGGGCAAGTTAGATCAGGAGAATAGGGAGGAATAGGTAAACAGGCACAGGGGCCATGCCATTTTTTTGTCAAAAACTGTTGAACACTCAGCACGGTGTGGGTAGGTACGTTGTCATGATGGAAGAACTAGCCACAACTCAGGATGTTTCCTCTGCAAATCGTGATGCAACCTTCTCAAAACTTCCAGATAAAAATTTTGATTCAGAGGAACAAATTCCAAACCTACCACAAGGGGCCCACCCTCTAAGAAAATAATTCCAAGTTTTGGGGGTCCCTCCTTGTATATAGAAACTGTAATATTGACTCACTATAGATCTATCTTATCTATTTTTCATTTTTCAATTGAGACAATCTATATCACTAAATGTCTAGATTTTAATGGCAATTAATTTTGATAAATGTATACAGACATATAATACCACCCAACCAAGTTATAGAACATTTCCCCACAAAGTTTCTTTTGCATCTTTACAATTAGTTTCCACCACCCCTCAACCCTAACAGCAGCCACTGTTTTGATTTTCTATCACCACAGCTTAGTTTTCCCTACTCTAGAAACTTTTATAAAAGGATATAGAGTATACTCTGATGTCTATCTCCTTTCTCTCAAGAGAATATTTTTGAGATGTATCCATGTTGTTGCATGTATCAGTGTTCACTCCTTTTTATTACTTAATATGATTACATGATATACCCTCAGATCAATAGAAGTCCAGTCTCACTTTACATGTCATTCTTCACCAAAGAAACCGTTCCCGGATCCCCATTGCCTACTGAATAAAATCCAAACTCTGTATCTTCACATTGAAAACCTATGCTATGTTTACTACTTTTTTTCCCAAAAGATTGCCCTCGGTGTACTCCAACAAAAATGGGGCTTCTCGTGGACCTCACGTAAAGCATGTGCTTCTTGGTTCTATGCCTTTACACAGGCTATTCCCTCAGCCCAGAATGCTTTCCTGTCCCTCTCTACCTGTTGAGTCTTACCTTTCTTAGAAACCCTGCTGAAATGCCATCCTCCCAGTTGCCCTAACCAAATGGAGACAGGAATAAAGGTCTTTCTTACCGGTACTTTCATTTTAAATTCCTCTCGATAGTATTTAATGCCAATGTCAGTGAATGTCCTCTGGATAAAGTGAGATGGACGAAGAATGAAGATGAGCTGTAAGTTTCCTGGAAATGCCACCTAGAAGGATCATGAACAGTGTTAGGGGGAGAGGGAAAATGTCACATCCATGACCAGCATCTATTCTGTTTTCCTCTTGCCCAAGATCACAGAAGGAAAGTTTAAGTGGACACCATGAATGAAGATTTCATGGGATTTCAGAGCTAAGAGAGACTTTAGCAGTCAGATAATCCAAACTCCTCCTGAAAAACCAAACCAAACAAACAAAACTTTTTCTAATTATAAAAATGATTCATATTCTTTATAGAAGAATTGAGAAATGAATAAAAGTATACATTACAAAAAGAAAATCCATTCATGATCTTTCTTGGCTGTATTTAATATTTTAATCTATTTACTTATAGGCTGTTTTCTCTGTTTAAATATCTTTATCATGATTAAACTTGAACTGTAGAAATATTTTATAAAGTGCTTTTTCACTTAATGTTACACCATGGGCTTTTATTCCTGCTATTAATGAATTCTTTGGAAACATTATTTTTTATGGGTATACAATTTACTTAAACTCTCCCTTAATGCTAGTTAGGTTTTCAGTATTTTTACAATTACAAACAACACTGAAATGAAAAACCTTATCCTTGGAATATTTTCTTGAAATAGATTCCTAGAAGAATTATTGAATCAAAGAATTAGTATTTTAAGCATTCTTGATGCATATTATTGCTAAGTTCCTTTCAGAAAGTATCACCCTCACCTTGAAGTGAGGTCCTGAGCAATGAAAAAGCCTAGATTCATATAACTACTTAGTGGCACAGTTAGGAACCCAAATTACCATGGGAACTGCCATGGCTTTCTATTCTTCCAGTGAGAGCTTTGGGGAAGGTTTTGAGCTTTAAGGCTGAGCTTTGGGGAAAGCAACTTCCTAAAGTGCTTTCTTTAAAAAATCTGGTCTTTCCTCCAGACTATTCTGATTCATTAGGACTGGGATGAAGTCTAGGTATCTGTATTTTCAACAAGCATTTGAAGAGCTTCTGATAGCTAAATTTTGGGATACCTGAACTACAATATCTTTTACACATAGATTAGGCTCAAACGTTACACACATATTGTCTATAGACTCTGGGAAAGCAGACTCTCTAGATGACAGACCTCTGGAATAATCACAGGCATCAACCATGAATACGATTATCCCAAAGATAATTTATCCTGCAGCTCAAACTAGACTAAAGAGACAAAATGATCCATGTAAACACAGAAGGAAATGCTTCCTTTCCCCATCTTTGAAATGCAAGCTCTTACACAGAAGAACCTTGCGTTTTGCTGTGTCATGATAGGATAAATTAGATGAGACACAATTTGGGAAGAGGTTCTAAAGAGATCTGAGGGGGACTGTGCCTGTTTGTATGTGTGACTGATTCTGTAAGTGGGTGTAAGGGAGCCTTCAAACATCCCTCTCCTGTCCTAACTCCTGCACACACTTTACCACCCTATCACATACCATCCTCTTTAGCCGGTCCCAACGGCCCTAGAACACCTGTGCTCAGGTAAAAATGCTGATGTGGTTGGCCCTAAGGTGTCTCTGCTTGACCATGTGACAGAGTTCAAGGTCTAAGGTTCCTACACTGATCAAAATCAGACTAATGAGGAAAAGGAATCCCATCCAAGGTTGCACAATTTAAAGCCAAATGCAAGCATACCTCCATCCAAGCTACTTAAATATCATATTGTCTGGTTTTGCCAGTATCTTTATAATATGTGTAAAATAATTTGAATGCTAAACTAAAAACTATCTTAAACTAAATGATCCCCAGAGCAAATCAGACAAAGATTTGGGTAAAAGTAGTTTGTTGTGATTCCAGGAAGGACAAATGAGGGAGTGAGGAGGTAGACAAAAATGAGTACAGTCAATGTCTCCACAAGGGGTTTACTGCTGTAGGCAAAAGGGGCCGAGATCCTCTGAGATATTGTATGGAGCATACCTTAGAACTGTCCCACTGAGGGGTGTGGAAACTGGGGTATTTACCCACCGACCTCCATAACTCAATAGTTGCAGGTTATTCCTGGGGCATTAACTTCTCAGCACTCCCTGCCTGGCCCTCTTCAGTGACTAGAGAAGTCAGTAAGGTAGAGAGACTCAGGAAGTATTTGACATGCTCAGGAATTGTCTGCAGGTGACCTTCAGGTGGCAGGGGGGATATGGAAGTGACTCACGGCATCTGTTACAAAGACCTTCCCAAAATTTGCCATAAAATAATTGTCTTTTCCCCGGGACTTTGATATGAAATAGCTGAGCAGACAATGTAAATGACTTTCATGATAACAGTATAAAAATAAATATTTACAGCGATTCGTGTCAAGGATGCCTTTACGGAGCTCCACTTGTCCCTTCGTCTGTCAATAACAATGATGAATCCGATGCTGGCAGCCTCCACACTGCAAAGAAAGGTGGTCAGTGTCAGAGATTAGGTGAGACCCATGGGCTCAGTATGACTCCTACAGCAGAACGCACCCTATGGCCTCCATAGCACTCCAGGTTCACTGTGTAAACACTCAGACTCTTCATCTGTAAAGTAGAAATAAGAAAATAGTACCTATTTATAAGGTTAATGTGATGATTAAATGAGTTTGGATATGTGTAGACATAAAGTGCTCAGCACAATGCCTGGAATTTGGTAATACTATATAAGTATTAACTATTATACTTTCTTTCTTCTCCACTCATATTATTATTTCTTATGTTCTTGTCATGGAGATTAAAAAATTTATAGCACATGAAAAGTAGTGGGCACATAGTAAATTTTCAGTAAGTCTCTAGTATTGAGTAAAAGGTGGGATTTGCCCAAAAAATTGCCTTTGTGTGAAGAAGGCAGAAGATCTAAGAAAAACCTGCAAGAAAAACATACATAGATAATCTGAATTAAGCATCATTGAGTCAATCCATTCTCACAGCCCCATATTGACCTAGGTTATTTTGCTGGAGAAATTTACTAGGACACAATATAAAGAGGAGTGATCTCACTATTTGAAAGAGGAAGAGATTGGAGATCATGGATGCAAAAGTGACCAGGATTTGTGGGGGGTAGCTGCCAAGGAGGGAACCTCCAGAGAGGGAACTTCAGAAGTCTTCATGGACATTCTTCTGTGCTTGGCCAACTCCTGTGCCCCACAAAATCAGATGAGACTCATAGAGACAGGCAGAGAACAGCAACTATTGTCTGAGAAGTGATGATAAATGACAAAGCTTGCATAGTTCTGAAGGAGACAACTGGTGTGGGATCAGCAAGAATAAACAGACAGACTTGGAGAAAAAATACCCTGGCATTTAGGTGAATCTCCAGAAAAGTCATCCTCTAGGAATAAAGGCAACACCAAAGGAGTTATCATCAGAATAAGGCTACACTCTAGGAGTAAGGACATAACAGAAATGGATACGCCTTAAGAAAGCCTAAAACCAACCTTCAAAAAGATCAGAGTGGTCCACCAATAATTTAACTGCCTACAAGACCAAAATTTTTATATGCATATAAACCTCTACGACATATCATTCACAATGTCCTTCCTTGGGAGACAGGGATAAAATTTTTTAAAAATACAAATGCAAAGAAGCAGGAAAAAAATAACCAATAGTAAAGAGATAAAATAGCTATTAGATATAGACTTAGAAATGTCCCCCACTGTTGGCAGTCAAAAACTCCAAAATAATTGTCATCAATATGTTAAAGAAAACAGGGAAAGGAAGACAAATTGGATGAAAAGATTCATTATTTCAGCAGAGAATTATAATCTATAATAATGAATCTAATTAGTCTTCTAGAAATGCAAAATACAAATATCTGAAATTAAGAGTTTATTGGATTTGTATAACAGCTGACTGAACACAGCAGAAGACAGGATAGGAAGAACTGAAAATATTATAACTGAAGCACAAAAAAGAGAGAAAAGTGGAAAGAATACAATGTAACAGAGATATGGAATATGAACAAAAGTCCCAGAAGAAGAGGAGAGAGAATGTTACAGAAATACTATCTTTAAATATGGCTCAAATCTTCTGAATCTGAGAAAATACATCAACTCACAGATTCAAGCAGTTCTTCCACTACCACATAGGACAAAACAAAGAAAATTTCACCAAGCACATTAGAACCAAACTGCTGAAAATGAAAGATAGGGAGAAAATCTTAAAAGCAGCTGGTAAAAACAGATGCACTATCTTCAGAAGAACATTATAAACTAACTAAGACCTTTTAGAGTGAGCAAATACCAGGGGAGACTTTCACATGAAGTGGTGGCTGCCTCTTTTGGGACTAGACAGGTGGATGAATGAAACTGAAGGGAAATAATCCCACATGCTAACCTGAAGCTGCCAGAAGGAGTGAAGATCACTGTACACATTAACTATGTGGATAAATATTATCAACTATGTTTTTTTTATTTCACCAAAGACTACTGACTAATCAAAGCAAAAATAATAACAAAGTATTATCAAATACATTGTATAGGTAAATAAAATATATCACAACAATGGCATTAAGGAATTATACTACTTCAGTAGCATGTGAAATTATACTACTGAAACTCACACAGAATGAATTAAACCATACCATTCATATTTTACGTAAAGTGGTATGAAATTAATGTGAGGTAGATTGTGCTACTTTAAGAATGATACGGAGACCCACTAATGTCTGTCCATATTGTCACAGCCCCTAGAGAAGGACATGGAAAGGGCGCAAGTGCTCCTGTATATTCCGGAACAATATTCTCAAAAGCTAATAAAAAGTGTGCTTCCCTTTATCTCCTATGCACTCCCAGTAAGTACCTTCAGGGGATCCTTGACTTCCCTGCAGTCTATACCCAATCAACTGAAAGATGCAAATCTCCTTTTACTCCCTTTTTCTGAGTGGTCATAAGTTTGAACAATATAGTATCAATGTAGTTGTGAGCTTTGTGATTTGTGTAACTTTTGCATCAATGTAATCATAAGTTTTGTGATGTGTATAACTTTTATGTAATGCATGATGTCTTAGGCCTTGCAAACTCCCTTTACTTTATGGCAAGCTTGGTGAACACTTCTGCAGGGCCCTATAAGAAGCTATGAGATACCTCTGAAACCTGGCAGCAGGAAGTCTGGACCAAAAATGTCACTATCAGATGAAACTCAAGTTCTATACAATGCTCTGCTGGTCACGTGGCTAATATGTAGGTACTGACAACTCTGAACTTATGAAAGTAAAAGCCTGGAGGAGGAGCAGATCCATTATAGAAAGACCTCGAGTCTGTCTCTGCTTTCTGGATTCGAACTCAGAAATAAACTTCTTTCTACCAGTTCCCTGCACCTTTGATTTACTGGTATCAAGGGAAGCAGCCGAGCGTTATTCAGACCATAACAGGATTACTTACCGACACCACTAAAAACTCAATATAGGAGATAAACAAAATATTGAAATAATTCAAAAGAAAGCAGGACAGTAAAAACAAAAGAACAAGTCACAGATGGTACAAATAGCGAGATATGGATTAAAACCCAAACATCTTAATAATCATATTAACTGGAAATGTCCTGTACCACTCCATTCAAAAGGCAAATGGTGGCTGAGTGAATATACTGCTTATAAGAGATATACTTTAAACATGAAGCCAGAGATAGATGGAAAGAAGAGGATAGTAACAGAAGTACCATGCAGTCACTAATGATAAGAAAATCAGTGTAGCTATATTAATATTAGAAAAAGCAGTGTTCACGACAAGGAGTATTAGCAGAGATAAATGATTCATAAAGATAAAGGGGCCAATTCATCAGCAAGACAGAACAATCCTAAATGTCTATGTATGCAATAACATTGCTTTAAAATACACTAACCAAAAATTAAGAGAACTAAAAGAATAATAGAAAAATCCACAAAGTTTGAGATTTCAGTACTTCTTTCTCAGTAACTGATAGAACAAGCAGCCAAAAAAATCAGTAAGGATACAGACCTGATTTTGAAGAACTCACTTTTAACAACTACAGAACACATATTCTTTCCAAAAGCTCATAGGACATTTATCAAAATAGACCATTATCTGGGCCATAAAGCAAGTATTGACAAATTTCAAATGACTATAATCATAGAAGATGCACTTCTGATAACCATGGAATTAAACTGGAGATCTATTATTCTTCTCTTTTCTATTTCAGTTATCTATGTTTTGCTTTTTCCCCTTCTACAATTCCCTTTCTTCTCCTTTTTTTTGTTGTTGTTGTTGTTGAATTGCTGTTCTCTTTTCTAACGTCTCAAGGCAGAAGGTTAGAGCATGGACTTTACGGCTTTCTTCTTTTCCAGTATAAGTATTTCAAGTTATAGTATCCTCATGAGCAGTACTTTAATTACATCACAAAAACTTGACATATTATATTTTGTTATTCAGTTTTAAATGTTTTCTTACATCCTGAGTGATTCCTTCTTTGACTCATAGATTATTTAAAAGTAGTTGCTAAGCTTCTAGGTGTTACTGGGCACCGATCATAGGGGACACAAGAACAAGCAAAACAGTTCTGTAGTACTAGTAAAAACACATCGACATCAAATATAACAACAAAAATTTTAGGTCATAATAGCTACTATTTATTGAGCTCCTCTTGTTTGTCAGACATACTTATATTTTATCTCACTTGACCTTTTGAAATAGATACCATTTCCATTTTACAGATGAAGAAACAGGCTGATAGAAATAAAATAACTAGCCTGAGATCACATTAGTGAGCCTGACTTTTGGACTCAGATCTTTCTAACACTAATGCTCTTCACCCTATCCCATTGCTTCCCTTCCATTTTTTTTTTCCCACAGCAAATCTGCTTGTACTAGGGGTAGTTTTATCTTGTATGTTTTTCTGTTACTAGTTTTTTTTTTCTATTTAAACCATGCAATCATTGAAGGATGTTCTAAGGGAGTCACCAGGGTTCTTAAACAAAGTGGAGTTGGGAGAGGCTCAGCAAATATAATATAGTTCATAAACACAAGCTGTTCTTTGATCAATGAAATCAGCAGCTGCTGGCAGATATGGCTGCCCCAGCCAAACTGAGGGCAAGCATCCCTCACAACAAGGCTCCCCTTAGCTCCACACAGTCTAAGACCCAACCACAGTATCTGGGTAAACAGAGCATGGGATCTGCTGGGAGAATATCTGTGAATATAAAGGGCTGTGTCTCCTGACTTGATTGTTTATAGGTCACAGTTCAGAAAAAAAAGAAATGAATCATGACAGTGATGTTCAATAATCTTCCCATAGGTGTTCATGCTAAACGACACTCAGCAATAACTACTGTGGTGGGTTTTATTGCTCACCCTCTCTTGTTCAGTAAAGATATCAATACTTCAACTAAACCCAATGCATAGGAATTGAGATTTCTGACCAACATATTTCTTTAGTTAACACTTGATCATTTTAACCC